ACTAATCTGGTCCTACATAAAGCAGTTACTTGGCTGCCAGGAAAGGTGTGGCGCTTTCACGACGAAAGGTGCGCTGGTTGCTGAGCAGGACTTCGAAAGCACTCCGCCCCAAAAGCGATCCGCCCACTAGTTTAGTTGGTGATTTGGACGAGCTGCGTTGCCAGCAGCGGCACAACTGGAGCAACTCGACTGGAGCATGGATTGGCATGTTGCTACTGAAGGAATTGCTGGAAAATCGTTCATATGTCCGACGTTTTAGCCGCTGCCCTTCAAGAGCGAAGACAACAACTAGAAAATTATCTTACTCCGTACTTTTCGTACAAACGTACTGCGTCGAAAATGGCATGCCGAAACTTTCACGGTATTTCCCTTCTCAGCGCCGCTATTCGGATAGGGTGTCTATGTGGAAGGAATGTGGAAGCCCTGATTAAATACGAATTAATGGAACGACATCGTCCATTTTTGTCCGTTATCGAGGTGAAGTGTTATAAGTACAGGTCCTCTCCTTAGCGGCATCAGTACGATAGAGCCAGAAAGCTGTGTTCCATTTTTGTGATTTTGGCTGGTGGTTGTTGCTCTTGACAGAATGCGATGAGCATGTAAAATTTGAGCATTCGCCGATTCTCAACGGCCACAAGTTTCGCTTTTTCGATCCATCAGGTATAAGAAGGATTTTGTTCGAGGCCGCTGTGGTGAAGTTGGTGCCCTACAGTCATGAGGACGTTCAGAGAAAAGGCGATTCCTGGTTCTCACAGGCTGGTACTCATCGCTTAACTGATCGGGTTTCCTTTCTACAACCGAGCACCGAAAACTGATGGCATGGACATCACGTTATGTAACTTGATATGTAGGTGATGGCATGGAACGTCGTGCCTGCATAGCCCCGATAGAATTTGAAACGTTTGATTGGAAATCACTCCTGACTACTAACGAGAACGAATCGAAGCGATGATGGTGCTAAGGACAAAGGCAAACGGAGGTGCTTATCATGCGCACCTCTTGTTAAAACACCGTCTAATTCAACCAGAGCCTTACCACCTGGGTCAGTTAATTGGCACAAGACTTACCCGGGACGACAAAATCAGTGGCTCTCACGGAAGGAGAAGAGATTCCAGGCTCTTTTTCTAAGGATAAAAGCTTAGGGACGTTGGTGCAGCGGCTGCGGGGCCGCTTATCACGCGCACGGTGCGGGGATCACTTCTCGAAGATCCTCCGCCGTACAGGCCAACCAACCCTCCACCTTCCCTGTCAGTCACTTGGTGCCAGATTTGTTCGGGACTGTATTGATTGTAACCTTCAAAGACCTTGTCGACCTACAGTGAGCCTGTTTTGTTAGATTTTTTTTCAATATTTTCCATGTCTCCAAATTGTCAGTGTACGTTTTTAGACCCAGCAAAAAACGTATTTCGTTATTGGTAGACTTGTTCATGCGTAATTGATTACTGATAAAAAATATGAAAATATGCAATTAATATATGGAACTACACAGCTATACACGGCCCACAGTGCCTAGTATTTTTTTTCTATATTACACTAATCTAAGTTTACACAGTGCTGATCTCCTTATCACAATACTGCTGTCCTCTGCATCATCAGGCGGTCTCAGTAGTCATGCCAGCAGAAACTGTTCCGGAAAAAGTCGCCTTATCAGCAGGTCATCGATCAGAGCGAACAGCGCAGTTCACAATATCGTCTAGCCGCATTTTCATGAACATTTCTCATACATTCCTATGGCTCTCTATTTGCTAACCGTATGAATTCACTCTTTCTCTATAGCGGAAATCCTTTTCAGCCGAGCTGTTAAACGCGCTCAATAAAAAAAGCAGTTACGTAAAAAAAACCATATTTTTACCCAAAATTGATCCATTCTTCAATTTTAGGATCAATCTAACAAGAATTTTTTCCAAAAATCAAAACACCAAGCTTTCTCTCTCTAACTCTCTATCTCTCTCTTGGAACCTCAGCACGGTTAGTTGCTATTGTTTGCTTTATGCTTTTTTCACCAGGCCTGTAGGTGAAATCTTCATTTCGACTGAGGTTTGGACCTTCACGTCGTTTTCAAAGCCAGAACAGCAGCGGTCAAAAGTGTTCGCCGAAACGATTTTTAGTGCATTATTTTTTCTCGCTTGAGCAACGCCCTCCAAAGATTGATATACTATGTTTTCTAGTGTTTTTATATCCTCAAGTCTTAAAGAATCAGGATATTCAAAAGAAAAAATTTTCGAGGCCACCATGAATTTTTTCTGGCAAAAAAAGAGAAGCACGGCAAACCGTTTCGGCTAAGCTCTTTACCGCTACAGCTCAAGGCTTAGAGAGTGGCTCACCATCCCACCAATCCATCCATCCCTTCCGCGTTAGGCCGCGTTCATAGTTCGCGACTCGGGAGATTAGGATAGTAGGCGATAGGATATTAGGATAGTAGTAGAGTAGGAGATTGCGCTGACAAGATTAGATACGTATCGATTGAAATCGCTGGAGAGTAGTAGATTACGATATTACGATAGTAGGATAGTAGTAGAGTAGGAGATTAGGATAGTAGTAGAGTAGGAGATTGCGCTGACAAGATTAGATACGTATCGATTGAAATCGCCGGAGAGTAGTAGATTGCGATATTACGATAGTAGGATAGTAGTAGAGTAGGAGATTAGGATAGTAGTAGATTAGGATAGTGCGCTGACAAGATTAGATATGTATCGATCTATTCGCTTGAAGTCGC